AACAGGACAAGAAATATCGGATGAACATCACAGGCGGCCATGAACAGTTTCGGCGTCATCCCTGCAATTTAAGGCTTAGCATCTCAACACCAAAGCTGTCCACAGAGTCTCCATCCTGCAGGCTGGTGTTTGGATAGCAACACCTAATAGACCGGGTGGGAATTATAGCTCCTTTGTCATGGGTTGGGCTGAGCAGGTGCTGGGCAAAAACGTTAGCCACTCGTCAGTCAGGCAGGGACAGATGAATGGGCCTCGTTCCCCCCGCGTGTGTGTGCGTGTGTGTGGGTCTGCCGTTAACCTGTTTACTCTTCCGTCCAGGTGAGACAGCACCTGCCGCACGGCACGCAGCCTTATCTCTACCACGTGCCCCGACACGACCGGGACCAGCTCCAGACCGCACCCAACCCTCGGCCTCTCCGCTCACGGACTCGCGACAGTCTTTGACAACTGAACGGACCGCACGCCCACCAACTAGTTTCGGAGCACCAGACGTCTGAGATGGGTATCTCTGTTCGCCGAGCTGGGTCCGAACGGACGATAAGGCCAGGCGAGTCGGGTTCCTGCCGCCCTGTACTATCTGCGATCCACGTCAACACGCGCACTCAGTCTAATCGGTTTGCGGAACAAACCGTAAGCAGATGTTGGGCAATGTATGCGCCGGGGCTGTGTTTGTTTAACTGTGGCGGTTTGGCTGGTAGAGGGATCAGAGGCTGGGGATGTTTGCTTTAAGTCCCGATGAATGGACGGTCTAATCACGGAGGCAGCTGCCAGAGCGGCCCGGCTACTGACAGAGTAGGCGAGGGGTGGCTGAAGAGGGGGGGGCGAGGGGTGGGTGAAGAGGGGGGGGCGAGGGGTGGGTGAAGAGGGGGGCGAGGGGTGTTGGATCTCACTGCTGATTAGTGAATTGAAATCTGTGTGTGGTCATTCACCCAATTTCCACCCCCACACTCCCCCCTTACTCCCTCTCTCACCACCCCATTCGCTGGCCCTCTTCGACAGAACAATGTTGCGTGAATTCATGCTGGGTCAAGTCCTCCTGAGGGTAAATTCGAAATATATGTTTGCCCGCATTTGCATACAGCTGCAGCAGTTAACCAAAGAGAAGTCCCCCCCCCACAGGGTTAAATGGCTTTGTTCTGTGTTTTTTCCCCTCTGAAGAGTAAAGAGAAGTAGCCGCACAGACCGAATACTAATTCATACCCGGCCCACGGACTCCGGAACAAAACAACTTTGCTGTGAGGAGAACACACATGGTTTTGATGATGTCTGTCTGGGCCGCAGATGAGACAGGAGCGGACGAGGGAAGGGGAGGGGCTGCACTCGTCCACGCCACAGGAAGGTCTGGCATGGCCCAGTCTGGCACGGCCCGGTTGCACAAAGCGTGGTGCCTGGCTGGCTGTCTCCAGCTCCCCAGGAAGGAAGGGCATGTACCGCCCTCCCCTTCAAATCCCCTCCCTCAATCAACAGCCGCCCACTCCGTTTCCCTCCGCACCACCTTCTGCCTTCCGCAACCTTTGACCCAGCACCACAGCGATCAGAGTGCGGATTACGGCGGAGTGCAGACGGCGGTGAAACTCTCCCACTCTCTCTCCGGCCAGCCTGGCATTTGCGGAGTCTGCTTTTTTCGCACCGCGAAAGGGCTATTTGATTAACCGGACAATGGGGCCGAGTCTTCCTCCCAACAGCCAGACGTTCAGGCGCTTGTTGTGGGAGCGCCGGCTAATTAATGTAATCCCGGTGAAAAATGGAACGCATACCAATCTGTATGTCACTGCCAGCGCCAGCTGTCCGGATACAGCCACTCAGTGTGTGCATAATGGCCCGTTATGTAGTGTAGTGCTAGCCTTAAAACCTGAGCACTGCACATCCCAGGGTGCAACAGGGCCGAGAGTTCTGTTGCGCCACACAGTTTACACTCTCATTGTCGTGAAGCTCACTCGCTAGGGAAACAGCATTGTTTCTGAGGGGAAATCAGCTGAAACACCGGATACGATGTCCTAGTATTTGAACGAGCCAGGCGTAAGAGGCAAACAGTAATTACTACAACAAAAGGAATGGTATCATTGTGTCAGATATCTTTTTCGTTTAGTCACCACCTTGTGACTCGCAAAAGTAACGGGAATTGGGCTTTTCACTATAGGCCTACAAATATTACTTAAAATTGTGAATGTATGAAGAAACATTTAGTTGAATTAAAGCCTGATAACATTGTTCCGAAACCGGAGATATTCATCGGACAAAAAATGTTAGCCGATACCAGTGTTCTGTCATCGCCACAATCACAGACTGGATCTACTGTCTTCATTTACATGTAAACACCATCTGAAAGCAAGTCTTTCTCAATGATTGTGTGCATCCCAATCTAATCAGGATCCTAATCTGCCCAATGATGCAGTGTCCACATCTGCCATGTCTCTCCAAGCAGATGGCTTACATCTCCAATCTTCAGTCAGGCGATTATCATCTGCTCATTGGCACAATGTGGTTTGAGGCCATCTCTAATCTCTGCTATAGGCACAGACACAATCAAGTGGATGCTTGAACCCGAGCACCACTGAAGCTCGTCAGTTGGACATAACCGTGTCACCTGGGTGCAGACGTGTCCCTGTGTATCTGAGCAGGGAACAACCCGATTGCTGTGACTGCTATCAGGGACAGGCTTTGTTCTCCCGTTTCTAACCACCTGGCAGCCTTCCTCTAGAAACACCCATTTGTATTGTGGAACCGGGACGTCCTTTATGTCTGCAGGGCCTCCCGCCAGCTGCCTGCTAAGCCCCAACTTTTAACCATGACAGAAAGAGTACACTGAGCGGACATGCACATGCGTAAAATGCACGGACCGATCCCGAAGTTTTGTAAGGAAGAATGGATGAGAAACCAGGACAGATATTATTTATATACAGTGCACTCTGCACAGACCGTTAATTAATTGCACGGGTTATTTCAATGGGTGAAAACAATGGGATTTTCTATGCATGTTCTGTTATATTGAATGACATTGAGGCATTTCATTGTATACACCTGTGTCATCTGCACATGACACATAAGCATTGATGAGATCCGACTTGCTTTTAATTAAAAGTTTACATGGAAACAAGTCGCCCCACCTCATTTGAATACAAATAAACTGCGCTATAGCTAATCTTAATTGGCACATTCAAAGCAATGCGCTTTGGTTAGGGAGAATTACTCAACAGAAGACGGATAAAAAAGAGACTGTGATGAGGATAATTTAACTGACTTTCGAAAAATCCGCGTGACAACGTCTCCGAGTGGTGGATAAAATCATTGTGACTGGGCTCTGTTTCCTGCCCATCAGCATGCCCGTGAGTGCCATTGTGCGCACTCAGCGTGCCTCTCCCAGGTCCAACTCCCCTATAGATGTGCCGCTTTGTCCCCAGCATCCCCTCACTGAGGCCCCCGTCTTCCCATCCCTCGGCTGCTTGACCCAGACGCGGCTCCCACGTTCCCATGGAGCGGCCGAGACAAGGCAGGGAAAGCCTTTCTTCCCCCATTCAGAAAGACGCTTTGTTAGCCCTGGAAAGGGGACAGCAGTGGAGCCGCTGCTGTGTGAGGCATCCATTGCACCAGGGCATTCACTGGGACACCCAAAAGGGGGAATAATACAAAAGGAGGAGAATGGGGGGGTTGGGGGTGTTCAGACTCCTGGAACTGCTCCCTACAATCTCAGGGGCATCACTCAAGGTCGAATAAAAAGGATCTGGGCATAATGAAAAGAGTCACATGGCCAACAAAATCACCTATATCATACTTGATATATGGCTGCATTATGGGCTGCATTGCACTCATTGCCTCCTTGTTGTGAAGCCTTATTTACGGTGGAACTGTAGAAATATGTGTTTTTTGGTCAAATCTTTCTTTGTCCGATTATTATGAAGAAGCACTCTAAAGGGACACTGTTTTTATTATAGGCTATTATATGACCACCAAAGTTAACAACAACCATTCTGACAGGTCCCTCTGGTAGAGTTTTATGTTGCTCACCTGTTGCATGTTCCTAGAGATCCAGGTGTCCATTAGGAGACTCAGTCGAGACCGGTGGAACTTCTTGGTGGTCTTGACAGCGATGAAGACGTCATGTTCACGGATGTCCTCGGCCGGGGACGCGTCTGCTGCGGACTGGGTGGACCCGGCGGGTCTATCCGCCTCCCGGCGCACACGAGTCAGCGTGGAGAAATACGCGGAGAATCCTCTCTTTGCCTGGTGCGCCTCCGGGTTGTCCTGGTGCTGGTCCGGGTTGTCCTGGTGCGGGTCCGCAGATAAAGGGTCCATACTCTGGAGTGAGCGCGTCCCCATCTCCCTCCCTGCAGGCGCCTCATCCACCCGGACTCGTTGGTGTTGCGCCATCACTAGGAGCAACAAAAGGCAGGTGACACCAGCAGTCGCTATGGAGATAACCGTTTTTTTACTATAGCCTTTCGACATGTTGATATACTTAGAAACTACTTAGAGTAGTTGTGTGTAGGGAGAATCACAGCAATTGAACGTCCATGTATTAATGCTCCCTAATTGGACCAATAAGATGTGACTGCCTCTACGCGCGTCTGCATCGTTGTACTACACTGCGAATGTGATTCAGCTTAACTTTATAACCTACTCTTGGGGTAAGCCACGCCCCGAGGGCGGTCTTTAAGTTGATATTGTGCCTTATTTGACAGCGTGGGGGGGGGGGGGATAGTGGGGAGGCTCAAAAGACACAGAGTGTGTGTGTGTGGTGTGCCTGTGTCTTTGTGTGTTTTTCTTGTGTGCGTGAGGTCACATTCAGCCTTCAATGAGTTTTCTGAATGACCTCACACTGGTTCTTTATTCTACTACAATCATTTGCTCCTTTAGAATATAACATTTAAAGTTTTCGTTGTGGTATAATTGTGACAGTTTAGTTTGTACACAAGTCTATAGGTTACCTTACGCTGTTTTTCTTTTTTTAATGTTTTTTTTATTTAAATAAACCTGGGAGACCGATTTGTGACCGGGACCTGGGGAGAAGCTGGGTTCTGAACCCAGAAGGCCATACTACTAAGCATGCACTCTACCACTGAGCTTCTCCAACTGCTCCAAATCAGTAAATTACTTTTTTGTAAAATATTTATTGGAGAAAATATGTACAACAAGACAGTCCATTTTCCATCTTTACATTTCAAAAACTTTTATTTTCAGTTTTCAAAAGGCCAAAATCATTTACACCCTTAGCACAGCTGGCATTAACTGGCGTGTTTGTGGAGCTTTTGAGTATACAGTGCTTGAATAAGACAACCATTGCTAATGCCAATTCATAAGCACTGAACTCTGTCACCATTGGCTACAGTCACTGTCTTGCAGATATCAATCGCATGCAAAAACATAGACTCATCAAAATTCTTTGTGAACGTATTCAAATTCCGCCCAAGTGTGGACAGCTTGTTCGCCGCCCGCCGGGCAAATTCAATTGTTCTGCTCTGACCCTGGGTTTAAACAGTTGGCCATTCCTCAGCACTTGTTATTTAGATTGCGTCTCTCGACAAGCGAAGGTACTGTTGTGGAGGAGTGTGGTCGACCCTGGACGTGACGTGAGTTCCGGCAGACCGACCGGCTGCCGTGCAGCTGGCAGTGGCAGGTCTGAATACCCACGCTCACACCCGCCGGTCGTCACCGTGAAGGCCGATGGAGCTTTAGAGTCCTATTGGGAATATGTTAACCCCGGACATCCTCACCAGCCAAAGCCCTGGCACCAACACTGTTCAGAGAAAAATATGCGGCTGGGTCTGCATGGTTAGAACATGCTAACTAGTTAGCTTGAAACAGTTTTTTGATTATTAATGTTGAATACCATTATTTGTTATTTCATTTAAATGTTTGTTTCACTTTCTTTGTTATCTGTGTAACATTTTCATGCCAGGGCATATGTCCTATTTTTGTAAGAACATACTGAAGTGAAACATTCATTGAGATATGGGCTTTTCGTAATAATGTTAAAAATCCCAAAACATGATTAATCGTACAAATCGTCGCATGCATCATTTGAAAGATTGCTCACACCAGGTCGCTGAAACAAGTACACGCAACCAGGCACTGGGGGCGCTGTCTCTCTGGTCTTCGATTATTGTTGCTTCAGCGGGTCTTTCTCCTGGTTGGGATAAGTGATTACCTACCTCTAAAGGTTTGTCAGATGCCACCTTGGACTGCTGGAACAATGACAAGCTGTTAAAATGGTTGGTGAAATGTGCAAAGTGAGTCATGCTTTTATTACAGCTTCATACCAGTCAGAAAGCCTTTTTCACTCTTGTCTTCACACTGCTGACGGGAGCAATGGAAAACAATCTGCCCCACAGAATATTCCCTCCTTAAGCCCTTCTAACAATGTTACCGCTGAAATCCAGTTAAAAGAAATCCCTTTGTATAGAGTTCCCCGTCGCCCACAGAACCGCCAATAACAACTGAGCTGTAATTCTTTCGGAACTTGTCACCATCTCGGGGGATGAAGCAGAGAATGACTGGAGGGACCGGGGTGGCCTTACTTAGGTGAGAAAAATATGAGAAACGCTCTGTTTATCTGCATTATACATTGTAGGATGGACGCGCGACAGTGAGGTGATGCGTTCTTGTCAGGTCAGAGGTAAGGTTGATAGGTATTACTCTTGGTGAAAGATGACTTGTCGCAGTAGGCCCACTTACTGTAACAGCTTAGTGTTATTTTATGTTGCCTCGTATTTTTACCGCTGAAACTTACAAGTACACACTAAAGTTTGCACACTCACTGCTAAAATATATGAATCCAGTATGATCTGAATTCAGTATGTGGGAGCATCTACGTATGGTAGAAATACTACATACTAAAAGTTGCTAATTTGACTCTGTTGTTAACATGTCCCTCCAGTGTTAGGCCACGTTTCTGTATTAACCGACACACAGACATACGTACGGTGTTAATAATGTAGCTGTAAATCAATATCACGTATCAGTCGTACACAATGGAATCTGTGCTATAGACTTGATTAATCACCCGAGAAAATGAATTAAACTTTAAAGTACAGCACGTCTGTGTGATCAATTCACGAGCTGAACCCAGGCCGGTCCTATGTCTGTGAGGTCTGTAGCATGTTGTATGTCTAGTAAGCGTTGAGATATGGTCACGCTGTGATTATTCAGACGAAAACTGCCCTGCCAAGACTTTGTCAAACCTCTTCTCCTCCCTTTCTTCGTGTCTCGAAAATATGGATTTAGTGGACATATTTTGCAAGTAGCCACAGCAATAGAAGTCATGTTTCTCTGCCTTTGATTCAGTGTTTCTTGACACGAACCTGCTTCTACACCCCGCTGATGAAGTGTCTTTTGTTCCTCTGCTGGGGAAACCTGGGAGTGTCCCAGACACAGACCTCCATTTCAGCATGGCCTACTTTATAACGCAACCAACCGCTTTTTGGTCTGCCTGGATCGCTTTTATTCAGTTTCGATGGAAACCCTATCTGCGTATTGTGGACCGATATAGAAAAACACGCTCTATTTATTTGTCTTTCAAGCAGCGACCGCTAGCATCTACTTGTGTTTTGCAGAGGGCAGGGAAATTGACACCCACATCTGAGGGCCGCCCGGTCTGCTGGCTCTCACTTCTGGTGTGACCTGTAATCCTATCAGTGATAGTGTGACCATGCTGAGAGTCTAAACAGAGACACTGGCTTCTCCCGCTGACCTATTCTCATCTACTGGTTCTCATGCCCAGGACTACATAGCACGCTGAGTGGAATTCGCAGTCAATACACCGCCATGTGAAGACTTGGTAAATGATATTCAGAGTTCTAGAGCCATATGCGGAAATCTAGAACCATATGCAGAAATCTAGAACCCTATTATGCATAAATCTAGAGACATATGCAGAAATCTGGAACCATATGCAGAAATCTAGAACCATATGCAGAGATCAAGAGACACATGCTGAAATGCAGAACCATATGCAGAAATCTAGAGCCATATGCAAAATTCTTGAACCGTATGCAGGAAGCTAGAACCATATGCAGTTTAAAGATACTTTTTATTGAACTTTATAAATGCTAAAACTTACGTATGCTATTACACAAAGATGTTTTCGTATTGCTAAAAAGCTTTTTGTAATTTGAATTATACTTGAAACAATTTGGACATGACAGATAGATTTTAGAATCAAATACATTTATCATGTGTTGGTTTTAGATGCCAACGTGCGGTTGCCAGTTGCATTGTTTGTAGTTTATTTCAATTTCAATCTAATTGAAAAACCGTCCCATGGTAACGTATTGTAGAATGAATCTACAGTACAGAGACAGGTCAGGTTACACTGTGGCATGTCCAGACATGTTTAACTGACTCCCTCATGTTCTGCTTTAACGGCCGGGTGAAACCCTTCGATTTCTCTATTCAGAGTCAACATTTAATTGACCTATAGCCAGTCAGGAACAAGAAACGGTTTAAAAATTACAAATACGTCCTATACCTGTTGATTGTTGACCACTTTAATGCTCTATTTAATTGTTCATGCTCATTAAAACGATCTAATTGGAAAGTTGGACAATATACTTTGTTTGGATGTGGCAGCTTGGGCCAGATGACAAAGGGTCTCCGTTGGAATAAATCTTTTTTTCTTTGGCCTGTTCAGTGTCTCCCTGTCCCCAGCTGGCCACAACTATCTTGCAGGGTCTTCAGATCCGGTAGGACAACGAAACATGCCACTGTGATAACTGGACACCTAAAAAAACTTTGGCGTAACTGAGCATGACAATTGTCATAAAATAGTCCCGATGGCATAACACGCTCAGAAGTTACCCGGCATTGAACTTGTGAACAGGTGTGTGGTTTCCCGGTCCGATCTATCACAGGCATGTTTGAAATACCGAACACCTTCTGACTCCGACAGTACTTTAACAAAACCAACGCAATGAGAACAATGCTGGGCCTGTGGCAGCAGTTTATGTTCAACGTTCAGCTGTTTAGTCAGCCTTGCTCTCAACCAAGAGCGATGTCAGAAGATGTGGTAACGGCAAGAAAGGGCTCGGTTCTGATGAATGAACAACCTGTTGATTTGGGAAGGCTCACCCCCGATTGGTCAATCATAACGTGCCCTTATGGCTCAATAATGTGGCTGATTCAAATTGGGTTTGTGCAGTATTTCATTTGTTGTTTTGCAATCAAGTCCAACGACAACATGCGTCTATTGTTTCTAGGTAATCTCTGCTAAATACGTTCACTTGAACATGTTTGCGATCCACGCAAATACCTTGTGATCGTATTGCCCTTATAATCTATAGTCTATATTTTTTTAAATACATAAAAATGTGGCACAATCTCTACCTAAGCTCAAATGTGTTCCTTAATCATCTTCCACAGTTAAACAAATATGCTGCGCTTTTATATAAATGCTGCGCTTTTATATAGCGCTTTTATATAGCGCTTTTATTCAAAGCTGTGTCACATTCACCCATTCATGGAACCGGGGATCGAACCACCGATCACCAACCTTCCGATTGATAGACAACCGACTCAACCCACTGAGCCACTGCCGCCCTAGGGTAGTGGTGTTGCTATAATTCCTTCAGTGGTTCCACGCTATGAAATGCAGATGATTTATTTTGTAATGTTTGGAGTGCAAAATAAGTGAATAAACAGCAGCTAAGCTAAATCACTGCTGCTACCACATACAGGATTAAAAAAAAACTCTGCTGTACAGTACATGCATGCAAAGACGAATAGCAGCGATGAAACAACTGCAAAATATCGACACCTTATGCAGTACACAGCGTGCAGAAAGGTTTTTGCTAACCCTGTAATCATTAACAATTTTTATTCATTTTTAGAAATCGAATGTAGAATACGGCAGTTGACACGGAGGAGGGGCAGCTGCTTTAACTGGATTAGTTTGTCACTACACAGTTGACGGTACTCTTCTCATGCAGCTGAACTCTTTTGTAGCGTGTTTGTGATTTTAAGTTTAGCAGACCTCATCATGTAAACATTTTCCACTGTGTGACCAGTAACAAGTGTCTAGCACACAATTGTGTCTGTCCTCTGCCTTTACCCCATCCCCTCTGTTCACCGTGAGGA